CAGTGAAAGTAGAAAACTACTCCCACAAGTTGTTCTCTGACCTCCATACACACATTGAAGAATATGGGCCTGCACACATAAAACACACACACACACACACACACACACACACACACACACACACACATGTGATTTACAGATAGACAGAAGAATAATAGAAGTATAACAAATAAAAACTTCATTAGCTTTTGAAAGCCTATCAGAGATTGTAAGCAGGAGATCCATGTTTTATCTGTCATTAAGTTTGGGCTGTTACCACTCTTCAAACTGTTTGCTTGTTTGTTTTTCAGGAAAGGAAACAGGGAAGAAAAAAGGTAGATTGTAGACCACATCACAAGAGGAAAGAGGGCTTTAACTTTCACTTTCCTAACCACGCACTCACCATTGGATACTAAACATGTCATGCTATGAACAAACAACCAATATTGTCCTTTGGGCTTGCATTGGACAAAATTCAGTAGTTCATAATGGGTGACATTTTCCAAATGAGTCATGATTTGTTCCCAAGGTGGGAAGTGCTGATAACGAGGGTGGAAACAGAGCCAAGTTCGTGAACCCACGCTTTGTGTCCATGTCTGTAGTTCAGCAGTTGCCAACCTGAAGGCTCTCACTCACACCAGAAAGCCAAGGCCTGTCCCCTGCACATGTTAATTATAAACCACCTGAAACAGTAACACAGTGTTTGTTTTAGCCACCCCTGGATCAACCCACATTCGCAGCCAGAGAGTTTCACATGTAAATTCCATCTGACTTTTGATTCAGGTCATGATGTTATCTATGGCTTCTGTGTGTGCTCTGTTTGTTTTTTTCCAGTAGGGTTTCTCATGAAGAGAACAATATTGGTTGTGGAGGCAGCTGCTAAGAATAATGGCTTTGGGGATACAGTTCAATGTACCATGAGCATAGTGTATGGCTACTGCTTCACTGTCCCTGAGTATAGAACCCTGTAAAGAGATGTAACTGGTCTACTTTCCCTACTTCCTGTCCCTTTCCACACTTATAGTCTCTTAGTGTTCACAGAATTCACATTTTACTGTCTCATTAGATATTAGACTATAATGAAAAGAGTAAGTAGGGTCATTAGTTTGGAGTAGCAGCCTTACTAGATAGAGTCTCACAGATTCCTGCTTATTTATTTATGTGTTATTAGCCATTCTATCTGTGATGTTTTCCCTAAAATTTCTTTGTCACTTCAGAAGTTTTCCTCTGTTGGAAGCTGATTAAATTGGATTTCAATCTAATACTTGTTTTAAAATAATGCATCTCTAAACACACACACACACACACACACACATCAATGAAATGTGCCATTCAATGTAGAGATGGACAGAGTTCAATGAAGACATGGGGTGTTCAGACTTTTAACCCTGATGTAAATTGGAGACAGAAACTAAATAAAATCTCTTATCAGTAGGATTTAAAGACTTGTGAAAGATGTAGCCATAATTAAGCATAGTGTTGTTATGGGAGAAGCTAGGGAAGATAAGAGATGAGTCTCTTTTTTTTTTTTTTTTGGTTTTACGAGACAGGGTTTCTCTGTTTTGGAGGCTGTCGGTCCAGCCTGGCCTCGAACTCACAGAGATCCGCCTGCCTCTGCCTCCTGAGTGCTGGGATTAAAGGCGTGTGCCACCAACGCCCGACGAGATGAGTCTCTTAATATGAGTACCTGCTAGGTGGCCGGGTGTGTCTCTCAGATTATAGAATACTTGCCTAGCATGTCTCACTCCTTGGGTTCAATGCCCAGCATGGCATATGAGCACCTGGAAGGTAGAAAAGAGAGGATCAGAAGTTCAAGATCATCTCAATTCCATAGCCAGTACTAAAATAGACTAAATGAACCTCCTGATAGTAGAACTGACTCACTGTGCATGCCTTGAACAGTATGTAGAGGCTGAAGTGTGGGTTATCAACAGTTTTTGCCTCTTTGCTGAGTTTCGTTTAAAAGCACCTTAACCTAGTGCCTGTCATGACTGCACATGGAGTACAACAATTCAACTCCTGTTCTTCCTTGCAAACACAGATTACAAGCTTTGTTATCATGGAAACTTCCTTAGTCTTCCTCTTAACCTCACTCTTCCCTCCTGTGTTTCCCTCTCTGTGATGTGTGCATGCCTTGATTGTATACCAGGCTCCAGTATTTTGCAGTGACTGGTATCTGTCCTGTTAGACTGTTGGTTTATTGAAGGCAGTCTCTGTCATAACCATTCTTGTTTTCCAGACTCTTTCAATGTGCACTTACTGATTAAATCTGTGACGCCAGTGAACACCCTGTGACTTTAGATTAAACAAGAAATAACTATGTTTGGTACAGATATTATCTTTAAATTAGTATTGTTGTCGATATAAATAATTATAACAAAAAATGAAAAAGTCACGTTCAACACACTCCACATTTATAGCCTGTCAACTAATTTTAGCAAGAGGCTATAAGTGTCTTGAAAATGTGTAAGTCAGCTGGGCTTGCCTGTTTATATTATAATCCTATCACTTGAGAAGCAGAGGCAAAATGATCAGAAGTTCAAGGACATCCTCAGCTACATAGCCAGTTCCAGGCCAACCTGGGGCACATGAGACCCCATCTTAAAAACTCACAAGAAGGGAAACTGACAGAAATGGCTCAGCAGCTAAGAGCACATGCTGCTCCCCCTGAGGACCCAAATTCGGTTCCAACATCCACATCTCAGGGACTTACAAGCACCTGTAACTCCAGCTGCAGAGAGTCACACACCCTCTTCTGGCCTCCATAGGTACCTGCACTCACATGCACATGGTAGGCACATACACATGATTAAAAATAAAACTGTTTTTTAAAGAAGCATCAAAGGAAAGTGCATGCATGTGCACCATGTGTGTACAGTACCCACATGGATGATAAGTGGGTCTCAATACCCTGGACAGGAATTACAAATGGTTGTGAGCCATCATGTGGGTGCTGAGAACTGAATCCAGGTTCTCTTCAAGAGCTATATGTACTCTTAATTATTTAGTCACCTCTATAGCTCCCCATAAAACATTTTAAACTATACATATGAAAGCAATCATTTGTGTGTATAAAAATTCATATGCTAGAGAGAAAACATGAATATGCTTATATAAATACTTAAATTACATATTTCATATGCCCAAGAAAGAATGATATTAATCTGATTTTGTAAGTGTAGGCAATGTATATGTTAGGGACTTTTAAACAACCATCTACGCTTGTGATATTTATTTTAAAATACAGTGAGAAATAACAGAACTTAAGCAAAAAGGACCCCACATCAATGAATAAGAAACTAAATAACAAAAAGAATAGGAATTAAAATTGTTCAATGCATATTATCAAATTGTACCATTCTACTTATTCCATTAACATGATGCTTTTCCTTTGCGTGTGTATGGGAGGGACATGTATGTATCATGGTTAAGGTCAGAGGACATTTCTGAATCCATTTGCTCCAGAAGGCTTCTGGAGTTTGAACTCAGGTCCTCAGACTTGTGCAGTAATGCTTTTACATTGCAAGCCATCTCACCTGCCCTAAAAGGAGGCTTTCCAACTTAGCAAGCCTCCTGGCATCTTACTGTATACCAGTCACACATAGTGAGGCCAGTCTGAGTTGATTAGTTCAAATTATTAAGAAGAAAATTTTATCTCAAGCAGCTGAGCCATCATACATGGCTGTAGATAGGTAAGTGGAAGCACTGAGCTAACAAAGACATTTTAAGAGAGGTAATTGAGATGACAGTGTGCACCAGCATTCAGTGTATGAGCTATTTTAGATTTATGTGCATCTAGTTCAAAGAGGTAATCTTTAAATGAATTATAGATAAAGAATAATCATCTAGTTATGTAAGCAGAAATATAACAGAGTTATGTAGGCATTAGCATACTGCTAAAGCTTTGCATGTTCAAGTAGTTTGAAAGGTTTAGCAAGAATGATTCAATAATAAAACGAACTGTTTTTATTTTTCCCAGTGGTGATACTTGGCAAGGCTCTAGATTGTTTCCCAATAGTATTTTAAGTCTCTATTTAATGTGTTTGACACTTAAGATGTCGTGTTGACTGTTTTTTACATATTTTTTAGTAAAGGACCTACATTTGTGTATTGAAATTAAATAGCAATGTCCATCATCTACTGAGTATCAGACTATGCAGTGGGGTGTCTTAAATATTCAGTCATTTGCTATCAGAAAGAGAAGATGAAAACTGTGTGAAATATGCTGCATAGGTAGTCAGCAAAAAGGAAGAACAAAGTAATAGAGCAGAATTTGCATAGGTGTCCACTTGTGTGTGTCTGTGCTTGTGTGTGTCTGTATTTCATGTGTGTGCATGTCCATGCTTATGTGTACTTGTGTATGTGCATGTGTGCATAAGGTGTGTGTATTGTTTGTGTGCATATGTTAGTCTTTGTGTATGTGGAAGAGGAAATATTAAATAGCTCTAATCCTTTACAACTAGTAATATACAAAGATGTTTTTCTTTTTAATTTACTTGTATGTGTGCATGATAGGGGCACAGATGTCATAGCACATGTGGAGATCAGAGAACAAATTTATGGAGTTGGTTCTCTACTTTCAAGTTTAGTTGGGTTCTGAAAATTAAATTTAGATCATTGGGTTTTACAGCAAGCACTTTTACCTGCTGAGTTATCTCAGATGGTCCCTTTGGGTTTATTTGTCTTGTTTGCTGTATTGGGTATCACCCATGCTTGGATAGTGCTCCACGATGGATACACAAACACACACACACACACATCAATAAAGTTGATTTGAAACAACTGCATATCCCTTTTATAAATGAAAGAATTCATGCATGTAAATATCATCCAATGTCACTTCACATTACAAAACTTGATACTGTTACCCACTAATCCTCAGGTACTAATCATACCCAAATGAGTGTTTCAGCATGGTGCCCATGTCATGTTTTTCAAAGGGTACGTATATTTCAATGATTGCTCATTCATCCTAATATTTGGAACTGTTGCAGAATCTAAAGTAGAAATCCTCAGGACTGTTGTGATCAGATTGTACTGAAGAGAACTATTATGGTGATTGTTGGTGGACAGAAAACCTCCATCAAGGAAACACTGCCACCTTCACAACAAAGGAAAACAAACAAATTGGGTAACTGTTTTTGTTGTCTATTCAAAATTCAGTTCCTCTCTGTGCTGATGCATTGATTTAATATGACATACTGAGTTTGTATTAACTAGTCAGAAAACAGTAGGCTAGGTAAGTGGTCCATTAATCTGCACACATTCCTGAATCCAAAGTGTAATTTGGATTGTGTGCTCAAAGCCTTGTGACAAAACAACAGTTCAAACATTGGGAAAAGAAGTTATCAGACACATGCTCTAACAAGCCAGTTTTCTAATAGTAGTGTTGATCAATCATTTGTAGTGATCTTGATACAATCTAATGATCTCTTTAGTAAGCTCAGCAAGTCAAGTGTCATAGTTACTCACTAGACTGCAATAACACTGATTAGCCCTTTTATCCTGGGGAATGGTAAGCATACATATGCATGTGCTCTAAAACAGTGTCTCCCTAAGGCTGGGCAGACGACTCAGTGGCTAAGAGCCCTTGCTATGCAAGTATAAGAACCTGAGTTTGCATCCCAGCACCCATTAAAAGCTAGTATGACTCCACATGTGCCTGTAACTCCAATGATATTGTGGGCAAAAATAAGGTGGCTGGGACTTGATGACTTCAAGCCTTGCTCAGGTTTAATGAGAGACCCTGTCTCAAGGGAATATGGTGGAGACTGATATAGCAGGATGCCTGATGTCCTCTGCATAAACACAGGCTCCTGTTCCTATACATACATCTGAACATATACCACACACACGTGCTGTAGTCATACATGTGTGCACACACATGCACAAAAAAAACTTAAAATATGTTTTATTCTTATCTCTCCATGAAACACAGATTCATGCCTAGAAGCTTAGCTACTTTTTAAGTTCTCTGAATATATGATTTCGTCAGCTTTTCCAAATCAGGATTATTCACATTTCATGCTATTGATAAAAAAGTCTCAATACACAATTAAGCCAGTCACAAAAGATTTCCTAAACATTAATAGTATCATTTCATTTAGCATTTAAAAAAATTCAGATTTCTAGAATAGACAAATGAAACTGTTAAGTGGCTTTTTGACTATGAGGTAATGTAGTGTGAAGATGGAGACACACAAACTCAATGTTAATTCTGCCTTTTCCTTCTGTACTTTATGGAGGAAGCAAATTTTAAATGATTTCTCCCAGAACCGTGATTAACAAAAGACATCTGGACTCCTTGCCCAGAGAACCAAGCCATGCATAATATAACACTCTGAGGAGACCAAAGCTCCATTTCAGGACCTTATACTGCTAGCGCTGAGCCTATCAGCACATACTAGCCAGTCTCCTTTGGGATTTCAGGATATGCCTACAGCTTCCACATAGAAAATTTAAACGTTGTAAGGTACATAAATTAAAATGTTAATGGGCCTGAAGGAATGGCACAGGACTTCAGAATGTGTGATGCTCTTCCAGAAGACCTGAATTCAATTCCCAAAACCCACAATGGGTGGCTTACTACTGTCTGTAACTCCAGTTCTCAGATATTTAACACCTTCCTCTGGTCTCCACAGGCAGCCCATACATGTATACACACACACACACACACACACACACACACACACACACACACACACACTAAATAACCAGAGCAAATAAATAAATAATATGTTGGGCATTTATGGTAAGGAAAAATTGCAAATAAAGCATTCAAAGTTGTTGGTTTACTCCATGTGTGGTGCTCTCACTTTCCTGGAGATGGTGCACAGTGTAGGTTAGAAAAGGAAAATGAAAATTCATGAGACTGAGTGGGATTGAATGACTCTATATATTCCTCTCATCAGAAGATTAATCACAAGGTTAGGGTGTACTAATAAGTGTTTTTATTAATTTTAGAAAGTAGATCCGTTTTAATCCCATTCCTTCTTCACACATGGGCCAAGGAAGAAGCCTTCTTAAGCAGAAGAGGCCATCTTTGTTTTGTGCTCACACTTATTCTCTTCTCACCTGCTGATTTGATAAAGCCAACTGCTTCTTGGTGGGTATGATTGTCCCCCTAAAACTCCCATAGTGTAGGAGGTGTAGACAGGGTGTCACTGAGGAACAAGATGATTAGCCAACTAGCTGAATCAGTGAGAAGTGAGCTCCATGTTCAAGTATGAAGTCTTAATTAAATATATAAGGTGTATTCAATAGGCTTCCCAAAGGATTTTCCAACTATCTTTTAAAAACTCATGTTAATAACTGTGATTAATAATGGCTCCAGAATTTCTCTTAAATTTTACACATAAAACTCAGGCTTCTTAACTGTTTCATTTTTAAATCAGAAATATTTTTGTTGGTACCAACAATGCACATTCTAATCGCTACATCAGAATTAACTTTGAAATTTGGAGTTTTTAGAGTTTTTGACTGTTTTTAGAGTTTTCAAGAAAGGATAGAGTTAATTTCAAAGAAGTACAAATGGTTTTGCCTCAAAAACAGAATTCACTGTTGATTGTGAGAAGATGACCAACCTTTCTTGATTAATTCAATTGTTAACACAACATTAGAGAATTAGGAGAACCTACACCCCATTGAGATGACTTTTCCTAAAAGGATTTCTATAAGGGCAAGGGTGATAGCACAGTAGGTAAAGTCATGAAACGAACGTGTTAATCCCCAGTGTCCACATAGGAAACTAGATGTGGTGACACACTTGCCTGTAGCCTATAATGCCAGACCTGTAGGTTCTGAGACAGGAGGACTGCTGAGGGTTTCTGGCAGCCGGTAGCTCCATGTTCAGTTAGAGACCCTGTCAGTGAATAATTCAGAGAGTGATGGAGGAAGTCACACAAAGTCCTTCTCTGGTTCTGCCAGTTCACTAGAAGATAAACATCTGTAAACAGGTGTCTCAGCAGAATTTTACAGCACACACACAACTGTGTTTGCAACTTTAGTGAAATGGAGGTGGAAGCAATGTACTAGGGGCTCTTGGTGGCAACTGACTATGTAGAAAGCAAAGGATACATCAGACAAGAGGCTATTTGTAGGAAGCTAATTTAAAGCAGAAACAAATAACTGAAAAAATGAGGAAATTTTGATTTAAACAAAAAAGAAAGAAAAGGTGATGCAGGATCCCATCAAACCAGAACATTAGAGTAATTTGCTATTCTGGGAGTCCAGCAGCTGGCTGAACTAAAGCATTCCTCTTCAGTTTGAGCATGGTAATAAAGGTAGGAAATAGTTCAAATGCCATGCTAAGCGTCCTAAAGCCAAACTCTGCAAAGGTGTGGTGTGTGTGTGTGTGTGTGTGTGTGTGTGTGTGTGTGTGTGTGTGTAAGAGAGACAGAGAGAGAGCAAGAAAGAGAGAGAATGTGTGCTTTTATGAGTTCAGTTCTTAGCGATATTTAATATTTCTCACTTTACTCACTTAGAAGTTATATTAGGATGAAGAATTACAAATTGAATACAAATTGAATAAGGATGCCAGGAAGTGAATCTCTGCCTGTGTTATTCATAGCAGATAAAGGAAATTGAAATCAAAGTTTAAAATTAACTTTGCTAAATAATGACTATTTTAGTTAAACATTGAAAAAAATAATCCAGAAATCTAGCATAAAGTAGGATACATACCACACTTTATAATACTGCATATGATAGTCTTAAATAAGAAAAGAGTAGAATTGTGTGGAGTAGGAGTTGGAAATCTACAAAATATGTAAGATGTGTAATGGACAATATTATACAACGTGAAAATATATACATAAATAATCGTATGATGCTAAAAGATTTAAAAGTGATCAAAGAAAGATTTATAGTTAATTCTTTAAAAGATATTTGTGTTAATTTTTTGAGGATGTCTTGTGATGTACTTTGATCATTTGCTCCAGTTAATCCTCTCCCTAACTCCTCCAGATTCACCCTGACCTCCCTCACTACTGTCCTCACTTTGTGTCTTCTTTATAATTTTTAAAACATACCCCAAAATGTATGGCTTCTGGTAGATAAGCACTCTCTAGCTACAATGGGTGGCCCCACACCCAGGAGTATGCTGAGTTGCTGATTATTTACACTTAATTCTTCGTTCCACTCAATATGTCACCTACATATTTAATACAGTTTTCCAGTCTCAAGTTTATTAACAATCCTATGTGTCTTAACCACTGCAATTTATCATATTTTTCTAGACAGAAAAATGCACTTTGCACTAAAGCCTTTAGCTTTATTTTGCTCCAGGGTTATTAAGGAGACATAACTACACACACAACATACATGTGCACATGTGCACAAGTGTGTACATACACACAGACATCCAGGCATGCAAACTCACACAAGCACATTCCCACAAAGTTTGTTAAATGGTGTGTTTCCATTCACAAAAGCATCTCCTTAATTAATTAATATAATTTGAATTTCAAGTAAAATAGTGTGTATTTTACTTTCTATTGTAACTGACAAAAGGTTCCACAAAATTGGTGTCTTCAAATGGTGGAAATGTATTCTCTTTGTGGTTCCGAAGGACAGAATTTCACAATCATACTGTCAACAGTAATGCTCTGGAAACTATAGGAGGAAAGCACCTACCTGTCTCTTCCAGCTCCTGGGGCTGCCAGCTTTCTTGGACCTGTGGATGTATCATTTTAATCTATAACTTCCATAGTCACCTCCTTTCTCCTCTGTGGGGGTCATAGATTCCCTCATAGGAGAACATGTGTTTCAGCCTTATATCTACACTAGGTAAGTGGATAGTCTTCACATCTGAATACCCTTGGTGTAAGCCCCTTCACACATGCTCTTTATCCAAATAAGGCAACATTTCCTGGTGCCAAGGAATGTGTACACTGGAGATGTGCAAATCATTGGAGCAATTGCTCATCTCAGTCTGCACTATAATCTACAGTATCTTCTTCTCAAACAATTTTAAGTCTAATGCATTTTGTAGAATATGTTGGAATGTAAGTGTTAACTAGGGGTAAATAAAACCACTCAAAGCCATCTAAGCTATGGTAGAACCAGACAAAAGTAATTTGGGGTTAAAAAATACAATCAAGATTACTTTTCAGACAAATTCTTCATTTAATA